CCCCCAGCCCTTCCGGAAGGGCGGAGCCGCTCCAGGAGAGCTTTGTTTGTTTACTTGTTCCAGCCCGTGACGCTGAGTGATGGTGCCACTGGCCAATAGGCGCGCGGATAACAATACCGGCAGGCCAATCGGAATGAAGCAGAGGAGGGACAGAGCGGCGGGGTGCTGCGCACGCGCGGGAGCCCCGCCCTCCATGTTGAGTGTGGCGCCAGGGCTCAGTGATGCGGCCGGAAGTGTCCCCCGAATGTGTGTTCCCGAGTTCTCAGGTTCCGCTCATCCTAGGTTTCCAGCAGTTACGTCATCTGTGAAAAAAGCCGGAGGTGGGAACTGTTCAAAGTGCCACCGCTTGGGTTCCAGAATGAGCGGTTAGTTGATGACGTTTACTTTCTACTTATTTTTTTTAAGTATTTTATTTATTATTTTATGTGTATGAGTGTATTGCCTGCATGTAAGTGAGTGCACCCGTGTCGTGCAATGTCGCGGAGGTCAGAAGAGGCTGTCGGATCCCCTGGAACTGGAGTTAGGACAGTTGTTAGCGGCCATGTGGGTGCTGGAATTCGAACCCGGGTCTTGTGCAAGAATAACCAGTGTTCTTAACCGCTGAGCCATCTCTTCAGCCGGATGACCGATGTCTTAATTCCAGCACACTTCTGTCTGCAGGTTTAAGTAAACCCGCCCCCAGGTTTACTTGTGTGTGAATGAAATGGAACAAGCTCTGAAGATAATCCACGTACTGTGGGAGAGCTGAGGCTTAGAACACACTGACCACCGCTGCTCTGATTGCTTTAAGTGTCACGCTCTGAGATTGCTTAGTGCAGGGAAGCATTGGGGCGCAGTCTATGCAGAAGTCAAAGATGTGGACTGCAGTACCGCACAGGCCACAACAGCAGCCAGGCCCGCACCTCTGCAGACCGAGGCCCAGGGTTCTGTGGCCGCCTCTCAGAGGGACAGATAGTAGGATCCTCTCGTTCCCACCCCTACCTCCAGATGCCAGATGCTGACTTTTCTGTCTTGCCTTTGAACAGTTGTCCAGCGACTCAGAAAAAAAGCCCATTTCTTACAAAGAGCAGTTAGACCAAGAAGCACTCACTAACCTGTCTCAGAGAGCCAGAAAAGGAAGCACGTTTCAGCATTGTCAAAGGACAACACTGCTAGTTCAAACTGAGCCCCAAGATGGAGTCACTACCTGGTGGATAGCATTCTGAGAAACAGAAACTGTAACACTCTGAGCCCGTCCGTTTTGTGTAAGTTTAACTGGTCAATCCTCTGGTCATAGGACCATCCCTAGGAAGGTGGGTTATGCTAAACAGATGTGCGGAATACCTAGTGCATTAGTGAGGCAGTTTTTCCTGCCTGGAATCCCGCCTACTAGCTCAGAACTTCAGGTCCCAGCATCCACATGTTGGCTAACAACTGTCAATAACTCCAGTTCCAGGGGATCCAACACCCTCTTCTGACCTCTGAGGACATTGCAGGACACGGTTGCACTTACATACATGCAGGCAATACACTCATACACATAAAATAAAAAATAAAATAAAAAAGTTATATGTGTATGAGTACCCTGGAACTGGAGTTAAGGACAGTTGCCAGCCGCCATGTGGGTGCTGGGAACAGAACCTGGACCCTCCACAGGAGCAGCCAGTGCTCTTAACCGCTGAGCCATCTCTCCGGCTCCACACAGAATTTTTTTGAAAAGATGTATGTGTGTGCCACCGGAGTGCAGGTGCCTGTCTTGGAACTGGAATTACTGGCAGTTGTGAGCTGCCCCTACGTCAGCGCTGGGAACCAAACCTGGTTTGGTCCTGTGGAAGAGCAGCAAACGCTCTGGACTCCAGGATCCTTCCAGCCCCTGTTCATCGCCCAGAGGAGAGCACATCCACGCCAGGAGCGCCTCCCCTCCCGACCCCGACACTGGAGGGCCCCTCTCCCTCTCCACTCCGCCTCTCTCCCATGCCGCGCTGTGGACCCGCTTGTCCTGTGCAGGAGGTTCCGAACCCGCTTCCCTTGTCTTCCAGCCCCTCTTCCGCCCGGAGGCTCCTGGCGCGCAGCGGTCGCCCGGTGCATGCGCGAACGCGGGTTCCGCCACGCCCATCATGGCGGCGGCTCAGTCCCCTCTCGGCCCCGCCCCGTGACGCGCTGTGGTCAGCTGACCCGCTGCGGCCGAGGAGCCCAGAGCGAAGCCGCCGCGGACCCGGGACTCGCGCCCGCGACCCCCCGCCATGCCGTCGGAGAAGACCTTCAAGCAGCGCCGCAGCTTCGGTGGGTGGGCGGGCGGCGGGAGGGGCGGGGGAGAGGATCGGCGTCGGGAGGTGGGAGGAGGGGGACAGGCCGGGGGGG